AGAAAGAAAGAAAGAAAGAAATGGAAAAATTACTTGGCCATCTCCCCTGGAGAGTAATTTTTCCATTTCTTTCTTTCTTTCTTTCTTGGACACGCACACACTTGCCTGGCTTGAGTTTTAAGTCATCAGGCCCAGGACTCGAACCGCAGTCTACTACACGGGAGTCCAGCAACATAAGCATTATACCATCTGCTGGTCCCAAAATCTTGACAAGATGGAGAAATGGAGGAAAAAGGATTGTGGCATAATCATGACTCATTGGGGGTTTTCTTTTTCTCTCTCTTTCTCACTAGTGCATAAATGCACCCTCTGGCAATTAAAAAAAAAAAGAAAAGAATATTTATAGGAATACAAAAAAAATGTAGCATTCAGAAAGATAAAATTAATGTCTAGCATCCAATCAAATATTATGAGGCAGGAAAACATGACTCATAATAAAAAGAAAAAAAACCAATCAAAACCACCCAGAAGTGATGCAAACATTAGAGTAAACAGATCAGGATGTTAATACAATTATTATATCCATATTTTATATGTTCAAAAAATTAAGCAGTCACGTATAAAAACCTCTAAATTAAACCTCTAAAGATAAACTCTCCAATCGACTAGATGAGATTAGTAGTAAATTAGGTTGTAAAAGAAAAGTTTAGTGAAATCAAAGACACAGAGACAGAAACTATCAGGTTGTCAGGATAGTCGTGATGTATTTTTCCATGCAAAAATGTGTCATGACTTTCCAGCTACCCCAATAGACATGATAAAACACCCAAAAGAAAACAAAACAAAAACCCCAAATTAAAAGAAGAGCATCCTGAGCTGTGGGCTGACTACAAGAGACCTAGCAGGTGTGTAATTGGGCCACACGAAGAGGGATGGAGACAGAAAAACGATTTGAAGAAATAATGGCTGAAAGTTCTCCAAATCTGATGAACACTAGACACCTAAAGTCCATGACATTCAATACCTGCTAATCTCAAGAAACAAGAAGAAAGCTACACAGACATCCTTCACAATCAAATTGCTCAAAGCAGTGGTAAATAGAACATCTTTAAAGCAGCCAGAACAGAAAACACGTTATGGTATAGCAGAGGTGGCTTATAGGGAGCACCACTGCTTGAGAGGCTGGAAACTACATGGGAAGCCTGGGTTTGGATTCCAAGCCAAACTGAACACACTAGGTGCAGTTGTACATGCGCATAATCCTATCTAATCCGGGGGCAGGAGGATCGTGACACAGTGAGACACTGTCAAAAATAAACCTATAGTTAACATCACACTTAATGCTGAAACACTACATGTTTTTGGCCTGAGATCAAGAACATGTTAAGGATGTCTCTTCTTATCTCTGATATTCAACATTGCACTGGAGAATCTAGCCAGTGCTCTTGGGCAAAATGAATAAATGAAGAGTTGGAATGTGGATTGAATAGGAAGAAGCAAAACCATCATTATGAGCAGATGACATGATCGTTTATAAAGAAAATCTCCTGGAATTTACAAAAAAAGCTACCAAAAAATAATATGAGTTTAGTAAGGTTGTAGAATACAAGATTGATATACAAAAATCAATTGTATTTCTCTATTCAGAAACTGAAATAAAAAGATATAATTTACAATGGTATCAAATCATGAGAAATACTTAGGGACAAATCTGACCAAAGATGTGTACAATGAAAACAGGAAATGTAAGAAGATCTAAATTAATACAGATATATAACTTACTTATGCATCTGGTGACTCAATATTGTTAAGCTGTCATTCTCCCCACATTGATCTATGGATTCAATAAAATTCTAATAAAAAAAACCCCAGCAGACTTTTTTCTTTGGTAGAAATTGACAAGCTAATTCTGAAATTGATATGGATATTTAGAAACCCTAGAGCAACCAAAATAATCTTGAAAAGGGACAAAGTTGGCAGTTATTCTGATTTCAAGACCAATTATAAAGCTACAGTAATCGATACAGTATGTTACTGCATAAAGGTGGACAAGCAGATCAATGGAACAGAGTCCAGAAAGAAACCCACATATATGTGGACAATTGTGAACATTTAAAAACTTTCATAGCAATTCGACAAGGCGACCACATCCCAGCACAAAGCCATTCTTCTGGCAATGCATGTTTACTGCATTTTACAAAAGCACTCTGTCCTTGATGAATTGGACAGAAATAAAAACAAAAAGGCCAATAAAACAGGAAAAATGGTCTCCTACCACAGATAACTGAGATCCTGTTTGAAAGTCTGCATCTAAGATGGGACATTTGTGTGGGCATCAAGAGACAGTTTGAACCCAGCTTAAGACCGGTTTTGAAATACAGTAGATGTGGCCATACTATGTTAGAAGAGATTTCTGGCCTAAAAGGTTTTGATCACAGTCTGATTGGCTCATCCTTGAGTCTTTCTGGTTCGTTCTATGTGGGTGATTATCTGCAAGCATGATTCATCTGCTATGGTGGTTGCTCCTACTTAGAATTTGAGAACTGCTGTTGTTGTTGTTGCAGGGTAGGATATAGCTATGAGAAAATTGTGGCACCATTATTATTATTGTTGTTGTTCTTCTTCTTTTCAGCTCAAACAATAGAGAATAGAGGCAAGACCATTTCCTCCTGCAATGCCAGTCACTCTGAAGACCTTCAGTGAACATGACTTACAAGGCACCTTACCTTGTGCACACAGGCCTTCGCATTCAGGAAAAATAGCTCCACAGTGTTCTTATCCTTTAAAAATGATATGCTCTCGATGTAAAACCTGAAAGACAGTACAGAAGTTTGTTTTGTTAGATTATGTCCTTCTCTCAACACAGTTTTTTTTTTTAAGAATTATTTATGTAATTATTTTTTTGTTTGTTTTTAAGAGGTTTTTGCTGTAGGGCACACGTGCGCACACCAGAAAGAGACAGACAAAAAGAAAGTGAGAAATAACCTGGGGGAGGAAGGGGGGATGGCCATGCTGCAATCCCTTCTCCTCCATTCTCTTCTCTGTCTCTTTCTGATGAGTGGACATGCCATATAGCAAGTTTAATAATAATAATAAATTAAAATTAAATAAATAATTTAAAGAAAAACACACTAAGCACACATGTGTGCCCCAAATTCTGATGGAATGAAATGGAGGGAACAAGATTTTGGTGTGACCATGCCCACTGGGGGATACTCTCTCTCTCTCGTGCCCTCTAGCAATGAAAGAAAAGGAAGAAGAAAGAGAGGGGAAAAAACTCTCAAAATGGTATCCAACTGCAAACACAAGCTCATCTGAGTTGCTCATTCTTTGACACAGTTCTGGGAGCTCACAGTACCTGAGAGTTGAAAGCGCGAGCCGGACCAGGAAAACTGATAACTGAGCCCCGAGGCCTGCTTTGGCTCAGTGGTTTTCAGACTTGGGGTGGGGCTGAGGGGCCCAGACTCCCTCACCGCCCTCCACCGGGGAGTTTCAAGCACACCCTCTTGCCTCCCTCTCATCCTTCCAGGCACTGGGTTTTCTCTTGGCTGGAGGCCAGACTCTCAGTAGCTGTCAGTCTTGGTCTTTTCTCATGCAAATCAGGGTATTCCCGGCCTCACTACCTCACCTCCTTTCTAGGATTGTGAGGTCTGTCTCACTGGAGAGTTCTGACAGCTCCAGTGTGGGAGGAGCTGTCTTTAAGGATGAGGCTGGCCCTCACACGCTGGCCTCTAGGTGGGCAGGTGGCAAGCTGAGGCCCGGTTTTCCTGAGGTTCCAGAGCTTCGCTGGACGAACAACGCACGACGAGACATGTGCTCCAAGAGCGCTCACAGCTTAGCCTTGACAGAGAACGTGCTCTCCAACTGGCGAGAGTCCAGATAACCATGGCTAAGGCGGCAAGGCAAACCTGCCCTTAGCGCGGCAGAATCATGACAGGGCTTGGGCATTCCTTACTTTCCTGCTCCTCTGAACAGCGATGAGACATCTAATATACAAATACGGCGACAAAGACTGTAAACAATTTATCACTGAGATGGTAAAATCACTTGAAAAGTTCCACCCCTTTATGTTGAATCATCGAGGGAAGCTCCAGAAGGAGAATAAATCCTTTACGTCTTTCCTTACATGGGTTTATCTCACAAGTGAGATGAATGAAGATCGAAGAGGGCTAGGTGTGCGAGAAGGAGCACTTTCACATCAAGGCCTTGAAGGAAATGAGGCGTTGGGGCGGGCTAGGTGTGCGAGAAGGAGCACTTTCACACCCAGCCAGTGAAGGAAATGAGGCGTTGGGGGGAAAGCTTTCAGAATCAGAAGGTCTCAAATATGGAGTTCTGCCTGTTATTTATTAACTCTGTGCCCCTGGGCAGGTTACTGTGAGAGCAAGAAAAAGTGAGAAAGTATTCGCCCCCTCGCCCTGGCCAGGGGATTGCCATGATGCAATCCTTTCTCTTCCATTCTCTTTTTGGCATTTTGGGCATGCACGCACATGTGCCGGGCTTATTGCCCTGCTATGCTCATATTCCAAACCAACCTAATACACTGCTTTCCTACAATAATGGTCACAATGAAATGGAGCATGGACACACTACTATGAGAGCCTGTAATTAATTCAGGCTATGAACCTAGAGGGCAAATGCTGCCAAACTGAAACCCATAGGTCTAAAGGGCACAGGAGAGGGGACAACTGAGCTGGGTCTTAAAGAATGCATGAGTTCACCAGGTAACAAAGGTAAGGATGTTCCAGGCAGGGGGCATATCCTTCACACAATCCTCTTGCTAGTCTTGGAGAAGTGAAGAAACCACATAAGGGGTGCTGGGTGGCTCAGCACCAAATCAGTGTGTGGCTTGTCCAACTATGAACTGATATCTTTGTACTAGAAACCGGGTTCGCCTTGTTCTCAAGTCCAGGCCTCTCGCTATATGCAAGTCCCAGTAAACAGTTCCTATCTTATTTCCCACTACTTTCTGGCCACCTGCCTTGGGGCCTCCTTCTGCCTAGGCATCCAGTTACCTGCTCTCTGAATCCACAATTCCATCTCTCCCTCAAGAGGGTCATTGTAATGACTTTGTATTTATGGAATGTATGAAAAGTGCATATGGTCGCGACTTTGTATTTATGGAATGTATGAAAAGTGCGTATGTTTGTGAGGAAAGGCTGTCTAAGCACACCTATCAACACTCACCATGAACTGAAAACCCAATCTAGGGTTCTTAATGAAATGAAATGGATTATTCCAGACTCGAAAAAATAAAGACTTTTTGTTTCAGCTCTTTTTGCAAAAGGATACTATTTCCTTTTTGCATGCTTGCTGTGAGCCATTTCACTAAGACTTTTAAGTTGAAGCCCAGGGTTAAGTTTGGCTTCAGAATGAGCCCAGGCTTTTGGACTAGGCATATGTTCTAGAGACAAACCTTCTACAGCACGAGGATACTTTTTTGGGAGGAGAAATCTTACCTGCTTTTCATGCTTCTCTCATGAGCATTTATTTTTTTTGAGAGGTTTTTGTTATAGGATACATGTGCTTGCCAGAGAGACAGAAAGTGAGAAATCACCCCCCCCAGGGGAGATGGCTATGCCGCAATCCCTTCTAATCCATTCTCCTCTTGGAATCTTGGGCATGCATGCACATGTGCTCAGCATGAATTTAAACCACCGAGTCTGAGACTTGAACTGTGGTTGACTACATGGGAGTCCAGCGATATAGCCATTTTACCATCTGCTGGTCCCGTCATGAGCCTTTTTTCTTCCTTGATGGTTCACCTAATCTGTCATCAGTGACGGCAGAACCTCATAGCACAGTGACATATAAAGACAGCTTGGAAGGGAGACGGGTTTTTAGGCCAGATGAGTGTCAAAGAGCAGAATACTCAGGGGTCGAACAGTATCACAGCAGTAATACTACACACTTGGAGGCTGACTCAATGGGGAGGTTCTGGGTTTGCATCCAGAGACCTCCCTGAACATACTGGGCACATGTGTGTCCAAGATCTTGGCTGGCTGAAGCTGAGCATGGACCACAACACCAAGAACTTGTAAGAGGTGCCTCTCTCTCTTACTCAGGGAGAAAAACACTAAAAATTGAAAGAAAAAAAAAAGAATAATATTCAAGTTCAGAATGGGCTACCCTTTGAGTAGTCACTTAGATTTAGGTGGTCAGTGTTTTCATCTATAGTATTTATCCATGTGGTCAAAGTCAGCACTACAAGGTGGGTAGATACAAGTTTGGATCCTGGCTTTCACACGGATGAGTCCTGGAGCCTTGGCCTAGCTGCTTGGCTCTTAGGGTCCCCCTCTACCTCTCTTGCCCTACATTCTACAAAACTGAAGATGTCTTAAACATGCTCAACATAGTGGGTGACATGCACTTTAGTAGCCAGTGGTTGGCAGTAATTATTGGTATATTATTATTATGGCTCTGTCGATTGGACTGTAATAAAAGACATTGACTTAGTAGGGAATAGCTTTAAAACTTTAATTGTGAAAACCAAGATGGAAATTTGAAGCCTCTTTCCTAAGTTCTTTTGCTTAAGGAAGCAAATGCAGCAAAAGTGTGTTTTAAGGCAGAACGGGAAAGTCTGATAATATCTTCAAAGATGGTAAATTGGGCAAGAATTGCTCAATTACTTTGCATTCTGAACAAAGCTGAGCTTGTGATTGGCGTCCAGTGAGGACTAGGTCAAAATGCCTCATTCTCAGTTTCATTTAGCTACGGTAGGTAATTTCAGGCACTCACACTCGCTACTTGCCTAAGTAGATTTCTATCAGATCCTAATCCACATTCTAAGCAGGGAGATCTCTTTTCATTGCTTGTAATAACCCTGCAGAGTCATCATGGTCTTACTTTATAATGTGTGCTGGAGGCTGAAGTATAATTTAAGTATATTTCCCTTTCTCCAAGCTCATCATGTTCTCCAAGCTATTATGGCAGTGTTTTTGGGAGTCCAGTATATTCTCTTTCTCTGGGAGAGGAACCGTCTTGGAGAACTCCCAAGGGAAGCACTACTTGCTTCTACTATGTGCTCCCTTGCCAGGAACACTCTCCCTCACCTCTCAGTTTCCAAACATGGCTAGGAGAACCAGGGAGGGCTTCCAGGTATGCCTGTAGAAACCCGTCCTTTGCACCTCTCCCACATCGTGACTCTCTGAGATCTCCAGAATGAGAGTAAGGGCCTTGCCGTGACCTGCTAGGAAGGGGAGGGGGCCTTCTCCTCTCAGTCACCTGAGATGTCAGGGTCAGATGAATTCCAAGTGTTTGCTCATTGCTTCAACACAGCCTACTCCCAGCCTCCATAAGGAAAGCAGTTGTTTTAGAGGGAGTTGGGGGAGAGACAGGGGAGGTGAATTGGATAGGGAGGCAACAGCTGGGCATGGTGAAGGATGAAGATCCTCTTCCTAGTGCAAAGGTCAGATTCAAGTCAGACAGTCCCAACCCTTTCAGACTTGAAGGCCATTTATCACATGGTGGCATGTTTCACTCACTGAACATGTAGTTGAGGCAGTCTCTGTTATTTATAACATGAAATATAACATTGAGAGTCTAGATCACATGTCAACACATGTAATCCGCCAACAACCTCTGATTAGGTGACTAGGTACCATCACCAGCTCCATTTTATAGGTGATGAAATGGGCCCGAGAGGATTTATAAAGCTGCATGACTATTACATTGAGGAGCTGGGATCTGAATCCAAGAACGATGCTACAATACCATTCTTGGGTAGGGTGGGGGCACGTCTGGCAGGTTGGAATGTTGAAGACATTCTCTGATTGTTGTAACTGGAGAGTTATTGGCCTCAGTGGATGGGGACT